TCAATGTATTGTTGGAGCCCTGGGCTTTATTGACGACGAAGTCAGTGGGTTGTTGAGGAATTGGGAAGCAAAAGCCGTTTGCATTTCGTGCGGTATTATGAATTTGGACCACACCATGTCGATAAAAGTCAATTTGATGTTCGGAGAAAACTGTTTATAATAATTTTATCGGTAGGGCAGGTGGAGGCGTCAATTAACGGAACTAGTGTTCAAATATGTTGGCATGTAATGTGCTCATGCAAAATATCTAACCATATTGAGCATTAAATAATCGCATTTTGAGTTCCACTTACACAAGCAAATCTGCCATCAAATTGGTATTCTATAGTAGAGTCCCATATCGTCAGAATTCCCTGAATGATATACCTAAGCAGCTTTTATGTGAATATGTCGCGAACGAGGTTGATTAAATTTCCTCGACTTTAGCAATCATCCATTATAAAGTCAATTACTAACTGGGAGTACACATGACTGAAAGCAAATTATGTATTATCTAACCACACAATAAACATCGCTATATTCCACTTTCGTCCTCTGCACAATTTCAACATGCCATCTGATGCCAGCAGTACGTGAAATATATTCATTTCATATTGGTTGAATTGTGACTTGTAACCAGACTAAAAATAAAAAGGGGATGTTCATCCACTAACGTTTACTGGATTTCATTGGGTCTTTTCGTGCAACATTCCTTACAGTAAATAATTGCCTCGTGTGCCAGTGAAGCGGAAAATGTAAATTGACGGAAATATAAGCAAAAATGAATGGTGAATGGCGGTCGAAAATTGCGGCCTTTTTATTTGGGATTTCCGTTAAAATGTAATGTATCTTTAGCAATGTGATTTGCACGAACAGAATCACGCATAATGGGTGAAATCTATTGGCGCTCTGTTGGAGGTTATATTGAGCGCGTCCTTGTGGCAGAATAGAAGTAAGTTTTGCACATTATGCTACTGCAAATAAGTGACGAAAATTGTCTGGGAATTTCAAAGTTTTTTATCAAGCGCGGTGTTATCTTACCTGCCAATTTTGGCAGAAGTTACGTTTTCAACTTTTCGTGATTGCCCTGTTTCCATATAAATTGTTTGTAGTGTTTAAACTCTGGAACGCTTTGGCAGGAAGCATTATGTGTTCAGTGCTATTGCGAAGGGCAGGTGGAGCACCGGTTATCGTTATGAACTACCTAATATTTTTGCATTGAACTCTAATTCCTAGATTGCTCATATTATGTTGTTCGCGTCATGGTGGCACACAAGCGAAACAAAGCAGTGACGCTCATCGCCAGTAGCTATGGACAATAATTTACGATGATTTGTCTAATTGGCTGCAAATCGACTTTCATGTATTTAACAGTCGTATGCAAAAATATTTAAACCTCTGCTCAACCGAAAACGTGTTCGCTATGTGGCCTGTTGACCATCGCACGTGCCCGGAAAGGAAAACTCTCGATAGTATCTGGCAATTTTTGCCAGATAATTCATAACTGCAAAAAGAATGCAAGAAGGGTTCGGCTCATTTATGCTGCTAGAAGGAAGTATGATCTATGCTACACCTGGCACTGGACACCATCTAGTCATTTGCGTATGTTTATTTTATCACTGATTATTGGGCAAAATTGGCGAACCTCTGAAACCATTAAAGTCAGCTTGCATATGATTTAAACGACTAATAGCGTAAAATGCGAATTCAGTCGAATGCCAGATACCGTTCATATCTCGCGCGCTTAAATATAAATGATGGTTTATTGAGAAGTGGAGGCGTTAGCTGCAGCACAGTGAACAACGCAAAACATTTTCCAACTCAGCAGCCGGTTAAGCAATATAAATGGATGCAATCTACCCAAGGCGACGATAAGCTCGATAAACAACATGACAAACCCCTTTGACAGTGAAGTTCCATTAAAGTATTTTCGATAAGCCAATGAACTAGATCCCACCGTGAATACTGTTGAACACAGTAGAGGGTAGAAAAGTGAACAACCACGTATTTGGTAGCTCATCCGACAAGATGGGGTAACATTTACCAAAACCGGGGCAGTTAATATGGGGACAAACATGTAGGCATGTGTATGCTGACCGCAAGTGGGGTTGTCATATAAGTCAAGCAGGTGACAACTTTTGCCAGGGTCAAATTACTTTTTAATGCATTAGTTGTTTGTGTCGGAAAAAAGTTCGCGCATGAGCAACTTCAGTTTAGTCTCTAAAGCTCCAACTTTGAAGCAGATTGTATGTGCAGCCAAATAATAAGCTAGACATCACCCCTATGAAACTCATACATTTGCAGCTTACATTCAATGATATGCGACATAATCGATGAGCAATC